AGAATCCATTGAACTCTGATACTTCTTGACCTGTCGAAACTTTCCCTATCGGAGCATACGTATTTTCGGAACCCTGGTTACATTTTTTCGACAACGCGGTAGGCAGTTTTCAACTAATAAAGTGAATTTCGTCGGTAAGCAGTATTCTTGGAATATAATCGCGATTGTGTCCTCTAGTGTGTCTACGGAAGTATGCGGTCCGAAAATTATCTATCAGAATTATTCAGACTGCAAGCCGGATGCTTCAATTTTACTCAGTTTCTTACGAAAGGATATATAGATCTTCCACCTCCAATTCATTGCAAATGCTTCCGTTTATGAAATCTGAAGGGCATCAGTGATTGAGCTACACAGTTATATCATTTGTTTGCCAATATTGCACAGATATTCTGCAGATATGTCTAACCTTGATCATAGTTTGAGAATCAGGTTTCCCGTGTGTTTCCTTTGAATGTCGGACCTTGTAAGTAGGACACAGCGAAAGTCAGTGACTCGTTTTAAAACATAGTGATTTTCAGCATCCGGAAAAACGAGCAGCGGAAATTATTCTCAACTATGTTTCGTTTGCTGTGTTCAGGTAATTCTCTTGAATGCAAGAGCGCTATCACCCGTTTAGAGTTGCCGAAGAGAATTGTTTTCAAAAGCCGATAATCTACCGTAATCGATATGGAAGACAATAGAGTGAATTGCGTTCGATAAGGTAGCTTAAGTAAAACGTAGCTGAGAAGGATAAGTAAATCATTGTTCAAGCAACGGATTTATATTTTGTTATGAAAGATTACAATGGTTGTTCCATGGAAATGAAAAATTGTTTTGTTATGAGCTCAATCTTTTGTATCTCGTTATTCCACTCCATTACAACGGTTCGCGAAACACTTGATCTGTTTGAACAAAATCAGGAGTGGGTGATTAACGCAATATTGGTTCAATGAACCGGTCAGGGCAATAAATCTTATGTATCGTTGTACTCACCATTCTCGACCGTTTATATTTAGCAAAACGCACAAGATGAGAAGCGTTATGGACAGCATAGAATTGGTGGCAACATCTAAAATTGGAGTCGATGCAAACAAAAGCGAAACGTATTTGAGAACGATGAATGGAAACACAATGGTTGCCAACATTTACAAAATCCAACCCAATCTGCATTTAAGATATATGATTGACCTTCATGAAGCAACGTTCGCAAACGTACAAGTGAGCAATCTTAACATCCGTTAACATTGCTACATTTTCAAAAGGGACCACAATGCAATCTGATTAGTGAAACTGACCAAATTGATAGTGTATTTTGAAGTTTTCCTGACTGCTGCTCCCTGAAGTTTCTCCATCATACACGATCAGGACACCTTTCCCGGTAGATGTGAACGTATTGCCCTGTGCTGTACGACAAATGTTTTTCGCGTCGGTCATGTCCTCATTACCAACCGTGACACATTGTGTTTCCGATTGAGACTAAGTTGAAATAAATGCAACACAAAGCATTACCTTCGGTTCGCTAATTTACTTGAAATGCAATGTGAAAACAAGATAAAACGTCATGTAGCGAATTAATGGAGAAACATATTTTTGTGGATGTGTTTGCTAGCAAACTTAATCAACTGAAGCTAGTTTATACAGTCAATTTGTTCATCAAAATATTAGGTAAAACGGGTGCTGAACTTTCTGGACTGACCAGTTTTTCTAATAATTTCGCTTTTTGTTTTTATCAAAAATTTGGTGAAAGTAATTTTATTTGATCGAACCGTTTAGGTTAAGGTGATTAGGTTGGTGACTGTAATCCAGCGGGTACATTGTTACTGCATGGATTACACACAAAACGTTATGTTTCATAATCTGTTATTGCTTCGACAAATTTGAATTAAATCTACAAAAGCGAACAAAAGTGCTAGGCACGTTGGTGGACGAATCGCGGTAAACTTTATAAAGTATTTACAAATGTGAGAGTACCAAATCGGGCAAAGTTGCATTGCTTTAATGAGACATCGTCTTTCTCAATGAGGCAAGCGATTACGTATTTCTGATGAAACCGTTCTTTTGTCATCTAAGGGTACTTGCGTGATATGGCAAAACAAAATTATTATATGCAGTGATCCATCTGACCCTCGCGCGTATGGATACTGATGCTGATTTTGAAATTTTGTCTTGCAATTTTCGATGAGAGTTGGAAAATATTTTGAAAATAGAATATCCACATGCTTTGTTCCCGACAACTTGCTTTTGGGCTCTTGGTGGTTATTGAAAGTCGTTTGTCAACAAACTGATAAATCCGTTGGAGATGAATGCATACATCCACAGTGTACAGCTGACAATGCCTGTCAGTGTTGTACAGCTGGAAACCGAAATCGGAATTCCAGTTTTAGATATCACGAGTATCCTTTCTATTTCTAGTGGTATTCAGATGTAGTCGTTTAACAGCATACCACTGGCTCCGATCACTTTGATTTCCCAGCAATGCGCTCTGAGATCAATTTCACGCATCTTCAAACACGCAGGTTTGTTAACGTGGGTTTCTTGGTAAATGTTTTGGTCCGGTATTTCTGCCTGAATTACTATTTATTGGCGATGGTGAACATCAATCGTTTGAAATGAAGATACGTTCAGACTATCAGCATCAATGGAGGCAAAGTGAAGAATCACGTTCACAGACGGTAGCTGGGTTATGATATGAAGGCCCTGACAGACACTTGCGGTAAGGACAGATTGTAGCGTCTCTAGGTTTTAGACCGAAATGAGAAGTCAGTTCCTTGAAATAATGACTAATGAGACAGTAATCATCCGGGAAAAATTGTGTTTGACTTGATTCGGAATAAAGATTTTCGTTGCAAAATCGTATAATGAAGTTCATACCGATCCCACATCCAGACTGACGCGAATATTTTTCCCATTACTGGTCGGAATGGTCCAGTTGCATATCAAGTCAGCTGGAATGGTAGCACCGGATTTAGCTACCGTGAACGATTGATCACTGTTCGTTGGTGGACCCGGAATTTCAGCACATTTATTATCCTGCACGGTATCTGAAACTGGAATGTGATTTTATTGGATACTAAAGACACTTTAAAGATGGAATGCCAGATTATCTGAATGAAATTACTGTAGGCAGTATACAACGATACTGTTATTATGAAATATTTTTTCCCTGAATATCCCGATCCAGGTAATTATCACAGGGTTGCAAATCGGATATTCTCAATCACTTGAACTTTATCGTCACTAAAATAAATCAAGAACACGGCAATCACTTTTGTGTGTTGTTTGAAAGTATGGTGATTTAGCTGATTCGGTTTATTAACTCACACTCATATACAAACAAAGAAAAGTTGGAGAAGAAGAAAATGCAGCACAAACGAATAAGCCTTCAGTAAAATTCCTTCGATAAACATAGTCTAAACTGGTTGCAGTGTTAGACCGATGATCTCATTTGTTCGTTCCGTCAACACGATCGCTCGGTTTCTACAGAAGTATTCAAAGATCATTGGATTGACTCATTTGATGCCTTTACTAGACTTCAGAATTCTACCGGAGGTTTCATACATTCATTCATTTTGATTGAAGTTGGTTATTCAAAAACCTTTGTATAATGTTTTCATAAAGGTCCAAAGATACTCATCATCGACATATATACACCAAAAATCAAACAATATAACAAAAGGAAAAAGTTTCCAGCTACAGTGAACTAAGCGTAACGTTAACGGAACTTACCAAGTTGGTATGTCACTTGGAAATTTTTGACGTAAGTGTCGTCTGAACCTTTTGGACTCTCGAACACGACAATGACATCTTTGCCCATTTCTCCCTTGTAAATGTTATTTTCCTTTTCGCAACAAATTGTTTTTGCTGCGGCCGGGTCTTTGTTATTTATCAAGTTAACCATGATGCACTGGTCCTTATTATTGGCCTGCAAAAGATACAATGATTTATGAACGGCGAATATTTTTTATGCAGAAAGGCATTCAAACAGACGAATCCGGAACGTAACGAGTCTGGAAATACAGAAACTACATATACTAAATTCAAGCTGATTTTAAATACATCGAACAGTGGAGTTGAGGTACAGAATTACATAAAAGTTAATCATTTACATAATGGATTAAAATAATGGGTTTCCGATGTAAAGCGTTTCAAATAGTGAACTATGAAAATTCAAATCTATTATAAATATTAAATATGTTGAATACCCTGTGTAAAATAAATTGCATGTCAGAAACTGTAGAAGAAACCCACAGGGCAAACTTACCGAAGTCGGTTCCAAAGTAATTTGTATACGTTTGCTTGGTGCCGATTTCAATTCCCAAAAGCAGGCTATTTCTCTAACAATTTGATCTGCCTGCGTTATTTTGAACGACTGCGGCTGATCCGTTGGAGCATTTGCATTTGCTGTGCATTGTGCATCACTCACTGAAAAAATAAAATATAATGTACAGTAAAAATGGCGCTTTTCATTCTTTTACGACAATGTGAGTTTGTGAATAGCACAAGTGAACCGAACGCACCAAGCTTGTAACTTAATGATATATCCTTGTCAGCAGCTGCTGCGCCTTCTTTCACTTTGATTGCTATAAATTCTTTCGATAGAGTACTTTGCTCATCTGCACCATCGCACCAATCACCAAGTGGGGTTTCATTTGGACCGGTCAGTGTGATACAATTTGTGGTTGATGCTTGCTAAGAAATTAGGATATTTAGGTTACCATTCCATTACCTCGGTCGCAACAGAACCAGGTGTTGGTTTTCTAATCAACTGAACTAATCCTTGTGATGTGGTGCTAATGTTCCATTTGCAATTATTTGTTCTGGTTTTGGGCAGGGTTAGATCTGTGCTGGTGAAATATGCCACATGATCTGCCTTGCCGCAGCTGGGGTCGTCCGCCTCTGATGTATTTACGGTTATCTATCGTGGTGAATTATGTCGCACTTACCAGCATTGGCATACACGCAGATAATTGAAAAAAACGCTATCAATGTTCGCCACATAATTTAATATGATACACTGAACATCGGTTTAAGCTTAAGGTATTTATATTCTGCCGATACGTGGGTGTGCTTGTAAAGTGCTCTCCTATTCGAAAGGAACAGTATTCACGTGTTCCCTGACCTAGTGCCTTTATTTAAGAAAATGACACGACGGCGACTCTTTGACGCGATTGCATCGATCTTTATCCTGAATGGACATCTCGTATTGTGTTGATCATATCTGTTTCTATGAAAAGTGCATTAAATCTTTGAGTGGTGATTTTGGTAACACATTTACCAACAGGATTTACAGGACTAAACGGTTAACCAATTGTCGCATCACCAATCATTGAGTATTTATGAAGATTAACTTAGGAAATTAATCAAACATTTAAACCTGTTTCAATTTCGGTTTGGTTTTCCAGGAGAACTGCACGGGACATCAGGGGCGTATTTTCATTTCCAAAAATTGCCAGCTTCATCTGCAATAAAAACGAATAATGTTTTTTTTCCAGGGTTAATGTATAATAGTAAATAACACAAGCCCGCTTACTACTCGCGACAATGAATTAAAATCTCAACCGGTTTATTGAACCTGAGCTACCCATAAGCTCAGCTAAGAGCCAAATGAAATGTATTCGGCCCACTGCCAGAATTTATCAGTTTACATAAAGTAGGACGGGGCAAGAGATTTACTGACCAATGTAGTTTTCCAAATTTTTTTTAGTGTGATATTACGCGGATAGCTTTGTGTCCCTGCATCAGATTTAGCCCGATTGAGTGCGCATGGACGAAAGCTTTGAGGAATCATCACTTACAACTGACATTACCCCATTTCCTGTCAAGTTGATCTGCATTTAAATTTCTGCCGATTAGATCAACCAATGACTAAAACAAATTTCTCTAAGTCGTTTGTTCACATCAACTAGTCACAGGTGTTTTTGGAACCTAAGTCCGCCCCAGTCAAAGTGACTCCGAGGAATATGTGCGAATATTTCGTCAGTTCTACCTTTAATGTGCCTTTGCTGCATCTTTTTCAGCCGCAATCCTACATGGTCGTTATTTCACCCTGACATGTTCCGCTTGCCCACTTCACAAAGATGCGTTTATGGAGATGGGCGTAATCCGACGAATGTTCGTAATTATCCGCTTGTGTACTTAAACAGGTCAGCAACTGTAGAACCGGAACCATGAGCAATAATCTGCAATAATTGCATATCTGAATCACGTGCATCGTTCTATTACTTCAGACATGATGATTTCGTGATATAAGTATCCAAAGAGGTTCGCATCTTAAACGTACCCTTGAGTGTGCCATCAATGTTTTTTAAATTATAGTTTCATAATTTTTATTACATCTATCACTAATATGACTATACCATTTATCAATACAATTAGATAACATAATGTGCAAACTCCGCGGAATATGAAATACTCAGATATGCAAGAAGTATCACTTACCAGAATTGAATACAGATGTGAGAAAATATTTAAGCAGAAGGTTTCAGCATGTCATTACATTTCATTTCACCCGTCTGTCGGCATTGGCAATTTATTTGCAAACGTTTCATTACCAGCCGAGGTGAAACCACCAAAGCTTGTGCACTGATAGTGTTTTGCTTTAGCCCGTATGTTTACATGTGTTCTCCTACACCGAATATTTTTCTC